GCTTCCTCTATTTCCATTTCCCAAATTCGCCTCTTCTCTTGCTTTCTTTTTTCCTTACTTAGGTCCAAACTAAGGCACTTTCCATCTTTACGAACCGACAGAACAAGGTGACAAAATGTGGGGAGAAGAGGGGGATAAAACTTATCTTTGAAAGTAGCCACCGTCTGCCCACTGCAGGCCACCCTGCTTGTGGAAAGCACCCATTTGCATGTCTTTAGTTCACATGTGCATTAAGCAGAGGTGAAGACCCCGAAGAACGGCTGTGCAAGCCGCGCGTGCGGGCGCCTGCGTCAGGCCTTGGGCAAGGCCAGCCACCGAGACCCTATGAAATCTGCTCTCGGGGATTAAGCAGCCGGAACCTCGCACATGCCTTCTTCCCGCATTCCTGGCAGTGCTTCTGTGGCGGCTGTGCTATTCCCCAGGGTCCTGCCGGTGGCTCTGTCAAGCCCTGCACACCAGCCTGGAATAGGGCGAGGACAGAAAGGGCACCACCATGTCCCAATCTGCTTCAGGCCTCACAGCTGCCGACCCACAGGCTGTTCCACGAAGGACAGAGGCCTGTCAAGGGAGCCTCACATCTTCCCTAACTCAAGGGACCAAAGGCAACAGCACTGAGAACGGTGGTCCCGTTTATACATAAGAAAGGAGTGGGTGCTGCAGGTGAATGCAGAGGTGGAGCTGGTCACCACTGCCCCCTGAAGCCCGGCAGACACCAACACCAGCATCTGGGTGGGAAGGGAAGCCGCCCACCACAGTGCAGAGCCGGGGTGTGATGGGGGCATCTTCTTCTCCTTGGCTGGTTCCTTTAACAGTGGTTTCTGGAAGCTGAGCTGCCTTCTTTTTAAAGACTTCATTTTCAGAACAGACCATAAATTAAGAGCAATTTCTAGCAACATGAAAACCGCGTGGGCTACATGAAATGGAAAATATACACGATCGGACGTGCACAGTGATGACAGCCTCTGCAAGGAGGCCGCGCACAGCAAGAGCACTGCACCAAGGAAGAGCCGCATCACGGGGACGGCGGGGGGGAAGGGGGGCTGGGCCGCCCCGCCTTCAGCCTCTCATTGTCATGCTGGAATACAAATCTCTTCTGAAAATTGTAAAAATTATCTGTAATGCTTTAAAAAATTTAAAAGAAGACTTCCTCCCGCATCCCTAACAAAAGGGAGCATGCACTTTGCTGCCGTCTGCCCGGTCAGCTGGGAGTCATGCAGCGCCCAGAATGCAGGTGACGGGTGGTGGCTCCCTGGGCCTTCGGGGACCCACTAATGAGACAGCTGCGTGAAAGCAGAGGGTTGCCGCCCAGGGGCCAATCTGGGGAGCGTGAGGGCACCCCCCCACCCCTCCCGGAGGGGCAACAGCACCGTCTGGAGCACATGGGTAAGATGCTGTGGGCCGACCTGAGCGCCGAGATAAAATGAAGGCCATGGAACTAGAGTGGAAACTGCAAGGTTTTATTAACACGACTTCCAAATTACATACAGTATAGATCAAACACATTTCTGGTAGGAAATCACACAAATGATACACACAACAGTACATTTTCTTTTCAACTACGTCATTACCATTCTTCACATAGATCCTGGAAAAGCTACCACAGCAGTTAAAGAGTGAACAAAGGGTGGACAGGCAACGGCATTCCCACAAGTTAAGCGCAGTGTGTCTGAGAAAACAGACGGAGATCAAACCCAGAGACACGCTCTCCCGTCATCGCTCGATGTCTGAATTTCCAACGCTCTCCCAGTCAACAGGGCTTCGCCCCCAACCAGAGCCACCCGGGGCAGCCCGCAGAGTGCGCACGCATCAGGGCGGGGAGGCCCCGTCGGTCAGACGGCCGCCACCTCCAAGCGGAGTGAGCCACGCTACCACTAACACTGAACTCATGCACAAGAGCTCCTGCGAAAGCAGAGGGGTGGGAAACAAAGAAGCGGGTGGTTAGGGGCACGAACCGCACGCCGCGGACGCCGGCATCTTTGACTCGGCACTCACTCCTGCAGAGCCAAACTGCAAAACAACAGAATTAAAATGTTACTCTCTCCAATCAGACCTGGAGGAATGAACCGTGAGTAAAGACCTGTCAAAGCAAAGGTTGAGAGGTGAGCAGGTTGTAAACCAAGTGTGAGAACGATCAGCACCTTCCCTCCCAGCCCGCCTGCCGTCTCCACACGGACGGACAGGGGGCAGCGTGGCAGGAATGCAGCCCTCACCCAGTGTGCAGCCAACAGGCGGAGGCAAAGGAGCGTGCAAAGCGAGGGAGATGGGAAAGTCAGAGAGAGTCTCGGAGGGGGACAGGAGCTACTGGTGTTAAGAATGGAAATGGAATTAGCCAGGAAAGCAAAACAGAAATGGACAGACAGGGGAGCCCAGAGCATGGCATGGCGAGGCGGTCCCATTACTAAATGACAGTGGCAAGAAGAAAGTAGAAACGTCCAGCAAACAGAATCAGCTCAAACATGAAAAAGGTCAGACTCTGCTTTGTCGCTGTGGTACCTGCAAATTAAACAGTGGAATTAAAGCCCAAGAGTTCAAGTTCTCACAGAGGAAACCATCCTGGATCCCACGCCTGTGAAAAGCAAAGCTGAATTATAGAAACAAGTGACGACGTGCTCCTGCAGCTCAGGGCACCACTGTGTGCTGTGTGTGCACGTTATTAAAAATGTCACACCTAAGAAAACGCTACAGAACGCACACAACTCAAACGGTCCTTGAAAAATCAGCTTCCGCTATGGGTGCCCTTAGAATGAAAAGCAGTTTAAAAGAAAATCATGCTAAAAGAAGGCACGAGGTCTACTTTCTGAGTATAGTAAATTATTAAATACAGAATCCTTTACAAGAGAGCCTGTCTGCCTATCCACTTTGTGGGACATACTAAAATGAAAAACTACATGTTTCTTTTTGAAGGCCCTGCGTTTTTCTAAATACCTTTTAAAATCAGTAACATAAAACCAAGCAAAATACTAACATGAAGACTTCCTTATCTTTTAGTTGGTTAGCAGTAAAAGGAAAAAACAAGTGCTCAAGAGAAGTCTCGCTAGGATACCTGTGCCGTCCGCCAATCATAAAGACTTCCTACCAAAACGTGACACAGAAAAGAGGGAGTGGAGACGTTCAGAGCGTTTTCTAGCCAAGGCAGCTTACAATGCGCGAGGCGAACGGCCTTTCCAGCCATATGCTACCAGGAGGAGGTATACCTGGGGATCCAATATGAATCCATGAGTTCTGCTTTGGTTCCAGTACACAAACCATGGGCTTATGCACCTCAGAAGCTACCATTTAAAAAAATTCAATAGGTTGCAAAAAAACCTTACATAAAATCCTTAGGATTTAATATTAAGTCAAGGCTAAATGCCTTTGGAGGCTAAATTCATTTTTAAGAATATCCAAAATAACACTCCATTCACCAACTTTAAAAATAGTTGAAAAAGTTGACTGAAATGTTCTTCACATCAAGTATCTAAGCCTTTCCCTAGCTGATCTGGACTTGGGGCTTTCCGAGTGGTGGTAATGGGGTGGGCTGATCCTTTCCTATCCTGCACCGCCCCCCCCATCAGTCAGTTCCCTTGTAGAATCGTCACCTGTAATTTTTCGAAGAATCAACAATACAAGTTTTCTATCTCCCACCTGGCCTCCCTCCCGCTCCAAATTAAAAAAAATGGGGTGGAGGGTCAGAGCTAAATGAAGGGAGGCCAACTGGGTCTAAACGCGATGCTGCAAAGCCAGAGCTGAGGCCTACAAGCAGGGAGGGAGGCAGGAAAAACACGAATCCCAGGAGGAGCAACGCAAAAGCGGGAAGCCCAAAGTCACCCAAGAAGGGCGCTCCGGAGCCCGCAGCGGGAATGTTTCTTGACAGCTGGCAGTCCTCTCCAGCCAGAGAGCAGAGGAGGGGGACAGCCACGGGGACTAGAGTTTCTAGGGCTCCAGAACGTGCTGGCTCAGCACGCTGCCACCCCACCACACACGCTGACCTCCTTGTCCCATGCCGTTACCTGACTAGAACCTGCCTTCAACAAGCGCCAATCCGATGGCCCAGGAGTGCATTCTGCTTACCTTCCCAATAAAACAACGAAGAAATACAAAACAAACAGAACAAAACAAAAACAACAAAAGCCAAAAGAAAACAAAAGTGATGAGTTCTTAAAACCCATCCTAGGACAAAGGCTCCAGGGCCTCGGGTGTCCTTTACCTGCCCTACCTGTCCTGCTCCAGCTGACCACCACCCAGTGAAGATGCTCCCCTTTCCCACGCCTCCAGGCCATCCAGTGGGGCCCAAGGGCTCTCAACTTGACCGGACTGGATGCCCTCCCCTGATGAGCCAGGGTGTTAGAAGGAAGTTCATTATGAACACTGAGATGACAGCTTCCCCCATCGTCAAGCCTCTCCTCACCTGGGTCTGCCCATCCCTTCCTCCTCCTCTTCCACCTTCTTCAGTAACAAAGCCTTCTGTTCACAGAACTGAGCAAGATGCTGTTTGAAAAAAAGACCCCTGGGTACGGGATCTAAGCTCTGTCACAATTCAGAAATGCTACAGAAGCAAGCTTCAACAACTGTTTGTCTGAGACCTTCACAAATCATGCTAGGAATGACCCGTATTAAAAATAGTCACGGTGAAGCCACCTCCCGCCCCATCCCATCTCCTCCAGCAAGGAAGGGTGCAGGCACCTGCGAGGCTGCTGCCTGACTGGAAAGTGGAGAAACCCCTCAAAATTTGTCTGGAAAAATGATGAGATTTACTCTTTAGAAGAATATCAGTATAAGGATTTAACAAACGTGGCCAGACCAGTGGTAATGTAAGGTTATCTTCAAGTAAGTAGCTAAGTGAACTTCTATTACAGCACAAAATCAAAACAAGATAACGCAAAAAGAAAAGTAACTTGGCTCCACATAATCAGCTGCTGCTTTACCATATGAGATATGCTAATATTTACCGTATGAGATATGCTAATATTTACGACCTTTAAGCTTCTTGAACTTGTGAACAAATAATACACAGATCAGGGTAAACGTATTGGCTTACTACCATCTTTATAAAAATCGAATATACACACAAACACATCAACAACTGTGGAACTGTATCCATTAAACTTTCATAAGACAACACAGAAGAACTAATAGCTAAGACGTTGCTGAGTTGAAAGCACTTCCAATAACATTTTAATTTTAAAAAGTCCGTATTTACATTGTATGCTAAATGCTCCTGCATCTCATTTTAAATGCATGATGAATCAAGAACAAAGATAATGGTTGCAGCAGATCTTCCAGGAGGGTCTGGCTGGTGTGGTCTGACTTCACCGTGAGCAGCACACCACACCTGTAAGTTGCATGACTTTCTAATTCTGCTTCTTTCTTTTTCTGTAGTTCCCTTCAAGGAAACTAACCCTTCATTACTGGGATTGTCTGGTACTAAGAATCCATTTTCAGTGGTCGTGGGTGTTGAGAGAGGTCAGTCTGTGCTGGGCTGTTCTAACCAGCGCTTTAAGGCGGGCCCGGATGACTCTGCCAATCACCTTTCTAGAACATTCTACGAGGAGAAAGTCTGCCTGTGTGCGTGTGTAGACGGTTAGAGAAACACGCACACCCCACTGACTGTGTCTTACTCAGGGAGCACCAGAGCAGACCTTCCAGTGGCCGTGAAGTCTGTCTTGAAGAATGGGTGCCCAAACAGGACCAGTTTTATTAACACTGACTGCAAAAAAGGAGGTTCTAATGCCTACTTCTCAGAGACAACACGCAGATATTTGGTTTTCAATACAGCACACTCAGACTAGTTCAAAAAGTGGTTTAAAAAAAAAAAAAGTCATTAAACTCATTTCATTGCATCAGTAAGCCCTCGATCACGAAGTAAGTTGGGAAGCCTTCCCACTGCCCAGCGGGTCCTAAGTGGTCTGGGTCTCTCTTCATTAGAGCTCAAGGGCTGCCAAACTCACCACTCCAACACAGCTATGGACTGAGCAAAATAAACTGCACCGAATACACAAACACATCCGTGTCTCACTATGGAAATGAGGGGCAGTGACAGCCGTGTGAACCCGCTGATGGGCACACAGACCCGCTGCCTGGGCAGCCTCTGCAGGCTCAGTGAGGCAGGGCAGGCAGACAGTCCCATCTCCCGAGGGCTGGCTGGGGCACTGTGGAGCAGAGGTGGCGGCAGCACAGCTGCAGGGTCCTAGCAGATCCTACAAGTGCTGTGGCTTCCTGGGACTGTGGCCGCAGCCCCTGCAGCGTGCGGTGTTACTCTCAAGCACACAGCAAACGCCACTTTAGAATCACTGCTACAGAAAAGCTTGCCGGGTCCGAAGACCTTCTTCAGCTCTTCAGATTGTTCTGGTAACTGAGGAAGTAATATAAAACGTCATCTGTGGAAACAAGATGACGCAAGTCTGTGCCCATCTCCTTAGTCCCTTCCTTCTAGGAGTCTGACAGCCCTAGGGCCGCGCTCCCTCCAGGGGCAGTGAGAAAGAACAGGCTTCTATTTTCCTTAATTCTAATAGTAAATGTGACATGAAATCGTAGGTATAAAATGTCTGAGTATGCCCTAGCATTATTTGCTCAAATAGCTCCGGTCCACTTTAGAACATATCCAAAATAGTGAAACTCGTTCATGAGCAGAAATACAGTAAGGCACTTTTTCCAGTGTTTGCCCAGAATGAATTCTACTACAGTGGCTTTATGGAGAGTATGTCTCACCTACAGGAACCTACCCGCAATTACGAAAAGCAGTTTCAGTGATGACACAGACACGTCTCATTTGGGGCTATGCTGTCCCTGGAAGAAAGCCACCCTCGCCCTGCACGCCATGGGGAATGGCAGGCCAGAGGGAACATCCACTGATGGACAGGGCGGCCCTGCCATAACAGCCTTCAGAAAAACAGAAGTGACTGAAGCAATGGCCACCAAATTCCCAAGGAATGTCACGTATCACAGAGCCAGTGACAAACAGGCCACCTTGCTGCATTTAAAAAGAGAAAAAAACAGACAGGTCTGTTCCACCTTCAAGCCGTTCCTCCACCTCACGTGGTGGGAACTAGGCCAGAGGGCTGCCGGATGAGGTCATCACAGACCCCTGCTCTAGCCAAGGGCCAGACCGTGTGCCTGTCCAGCACGTTGCGTTATCTGGGAGGTGTGTTAAAAATGAATGGGGAGTTCATCGAAACTAGGAACACAGAGTTGACGCTTTTGAAATAGTGACAAGAAGCAGAATCTGCTGTTCAATTGGCACCATTCCCAACCACCCACTCATACCCTGGCTTTCCAGGATATGCAAAGGTCAATCAACAATCAACCCAAATTTTAATCTATGTTTTTTACAAGAGCCTTTTGAGGGCTGAGAAGACGACTCGAGTTCTGCTTGGTTGAGAAGACTCTTCTAGCCTGCACTGAAGATAAGTGCAACCATTATCAAATATTCTCTGCTGTGAAAAATACTTAGAATTTGTGACGTTAACGTTCTTTCCTGAATCTAAGTCACTGTGATCAATCATAGAGTCAGATCACAAAGAACAACGTCTACATGCATTGTAAGCACTTCGAAAACAAAAGAAAACGAAAAACTTGGAGTTCTTGGTGGCGACAACAGAATGTGAAGCAACCTAACACCAACTCCAGCCTGCTGTGTCCTGTCAGGTCAGCTCCTCTGGAATCAACGCCGGGGCCGGCTGGCGCTCTGGACAACACTAACGTGGGGCTGCGGCCCGGGGAGACCTGTGCTCCTGGGGTTCTGCGCCGGCCGGCAGCTTCCTTGAAGAAATCCCACAGTGTGTGTACAGCTTAAGGTCAGGCTGTCTTGTGAGGAATCACTCCACGATCAGGGCCACATTTATGTGGGACAAATCAATCATATGCCTGTGAAAATTTAAAGAAACCATCGACATTCAATTACCACGGTGGGCGAAACTAAAGGGGACGGGGTCCTTTTTGATAAAACCCATCGTCCAAACAGGCCGATTCCCTGGCAAGACCTACCCGAACACAAGGGCAGCTCTTCACCTGGCAAAAGGACGCACGCCTCACAACAGGACCACCCTCTGCGCTCTGTGCCCTGCCGTCCCTCCACAGGGACAGGCGGGGACACATGCTTGCTACCATGACAGGTGGGAGAGCACAGGAAGGAGGCCCTCACTCCCGCCCCACATCACCGAAGCCCAGAGCACAGTGGTCACCTGTGGAACTTCTGCTGAAATGCTAGCGCATGGGCTGGCTCCTTGAACTTAGCTATGGCTTTCCGCTGCTGGGGAAGCATCTGTAAACTCTGGAGAAAGAAAACAAACATTTTAATATCAGTTGTAAATGACAACAAAAAATATGAACGTGTATGTTTATACGTTATTAGCTTTAACATAAAATGACTCCAGGCGGACACTTGGAATAAACAAACTGATTTTCCTCTCTCCCTGGCAATTTTTCTTGTTTATCCAGATACTCTATTCCAAAACAGCGCTTTAGTAAATCACTCCCAAGAGCAACACTTACATCTTCCAAGCTTAGTGTTAAGACCTGCCATCATCTGGCCACAACAGCTGCCCAACCTCCTCCATGAGGCCTGGCAGCAGACACCCCTGGACAGAGGCGTCTCCTCTTCTCACACCTTCTTATCAGGTGATTTCTTAATAGGGGTCCCCACGAATCTTTTTCAGAGCAGGACTCATCACACCAGAGGAAGCTGTTCAGTACAGCCCACAGCAGGCAATGGCCCCTATTCTACCATCTCTGTGCATCCAGCTGGGTCACTGTGAGGGCAGTGGTGCCTGGGGCAGCCATCAGCATAATGTGGTCACATTTTGTACTTTAGAGTCTGTAATCACCAGTCTTAAACAATGGTATCTGAAATGAAATCTTCAGGAGTTCCCAGAAGCCAGTGAAAAAGAAATGAATTTATGAAGATCGGCCGCAAGAAACGATGAATCCAGTCAAGATTTACAGTCAAGATTTACAAAGAGTGTCGGAAAAGCGTAACTTCCATCTAGTCCTTGAATCTGCTGTCTGAGGCAGAGGGGAGCTGCTTTCTGCTTTCTTAAGGCTTTAGCTTTAGGATCTGGGGCTGGGAGGGACAGGAAGAGAGCATGGCAACTGCTGATCTGTTAGGCGGCGCTCTGAACGCTCAAGCAACTCACAACTCCAGAATCTGGTCCTTCTCAATTACTTCAGGACACAGTCAGCTTAGTGCCCACTGTCTGGAGCACGTACAGGCGCCGCTCCCCCAACCTTACTTTACTTACTTACTTACTTACTTACTTACTTTTACTTACTTACTTACTTACTTACTTATTTATTTATGAGACGGCGTCTCACACTGTCACCTGGGCTGGAGTACACTGGCGCAATCTTGGCTTACAGCAATCTCCACATTTGAGGTTCAAGTGATTCTCCTGCCTCAGCCTCCCAAGTAGCTGGGACTACAGGCATGTGCCACCATGTCCAGCTATTTTTTTGTATTTTTAGTAGAGATGAGGTTTCACTATGTTGGCCAGGCTGGTCTCAAACTCCTGACCTCGTGATCCACCGGCCTCAGCCTCCCAAAGTGCTGGGATTACAGGTGTGAGCCACCGTGCCCAGTGCCCCTGACTCTTCTAAGAGCAGGAGTCATTGGGCAGCTCCTGGCATGGGCACCAGCAAACACCGTCCTGAGGAACTGCACTCAACAGGCACTTTTGGCAGCCAGAAACTATTTGCTGTGTCTGAGTTTCTGTTCAGTGAAATAGAATAGCTAAAGAAAATAACTATCAGCACATGATCCCTTGAAAACATGGACGCACATGTGGCCGTTTCATTTTAAAGCATTTGTCAAAGAGTTACAATGGAAGCAAACAGCTAAAAACATCAATGACTTGGAAAGTGTTTTAAACAGTTCCACGGTATATGAAGTAACTGTTCTCCATTTAATAACCACAGAACATCTACCAGTAAACGAGACTGGCAGAGCTCTGAAAGAATACTCAAACACTTCCGAAAACGTTGTCTTCTAGTGCTTCTACAACAGCGTTTACACAGAAATACACAGAAAGGTTCAAGTCTCCACATCCAAGGGCATCAAGAAGGCCCGCACGCAGGCTACCCCAGGAGCAGCAGGCCTGGTCTGGGGACATCCCTGACACACGCCAGCAATGAGGCAGCCCGTGGGGCAGCAAGGGAATTGGTCTGTGTTTTTCTGAACCGAGTTCAGTAAAATATCAGACTTTCTCCCTTCTTTCTGAAATAAAAGATGAACGCAAAAGAAACTTCTTGACAGCTTCACTTGTCATTAAGCTAACAGGAAAAGTGAAGCCCCACAACGTGGTCTCCTGGATACATCCTCAGCAATATGGCTTGCAATATGGCTTTCTGGACTTTGAAATTGCGCCTGTATTTCTTGACAGGGACCTGTTTTCTCTCCCAATCTGCCAGACTCATCTTTCAGCACGCACCCCTTTTATGTATTAGCCTGTGAATGGTATTCAGTCACTGAAACAACAGAGCAACTTCCAAAGAGAAAATGCTGTCTGTTCTGTTCCCAGGTAAGGGGCTGTGTAGAGTGAGCGCGACCTGTCCACCCTAGCCAGCCCCCGCTGCTGCTGCCATGCCTCTGGGGCTCTCTGTGTCCTTCCGGCAACAGCACTGGTGTGCTCAGTGCTCCAGCATCCTGAGGGGTTTAAGCAATACCCAAAAGTGACCAAAACAGCCTCGCGTAACAGCTGCCAGTGCTGCGGCGCAGCTCACTGCGAGAACTACAGTCACGGATCCTCTCTCAAGTTAACTTGTCTAAAAATATAAACATGCCCTCATTAGGAATGGATAAGGAAAACTAATTTCATATATCACAAAACAATTATCAACATTCTGCAACTCATAGAATCTGGATTGGAAAACACCATCTACTCAAGCGAGATCCTGTCTCTACAAAAAAATTTAAAGATTAGCCAGGCGCAGTGGTGCACTCCCCTCGGCCTAGGTACTCAGGAGGCTGAGGCGGAGGGATCCCTTGAGCCCAGGAGGGAGAGGCTGCAGTGAATCATGATCACAGGATCACATCACTGCACTCCAGCCTGGATGACGGAGACCCTGTCTCCAAAAAAAAAAGAAAATGTCATGCTGTTCTTTTGGGAAATAACATTTCTAGATGTATGTGGGGATTTTATTTCCTTTGGGCAATTTCACAGTGTGAAATGAGGGCATCAGGCTGCCAATTCTACAATACTTGGTATCAAGTTTGTTTACTTGTAATCTACATAGGTTAAAAACCTCAATCTGATTGAGGAACTTTCAGTCAACGAAGTATTAACTTTCACTGAGATTCTTCAATCAGAGGAATGACGGGGTTTTCACTCAACACAATTAACAAATGTTCGGTCCTAAAACTGGCTTCCTGTCTGCCCTCTCTATTTACATTTTTGTACCTTCTTTCAGAAATAAACCCTGTTTTCTAGATACAAAATTAAATTGTAGAAACTGTCAATATTCAACCATTTTTGACCTACCAAAATGACAAATACTTGCCATTTATTAGGAGCAGAGAAAAAGAAACTTTCCAGTGAAACCTAAAGACATGGTCGCCAGCTTCCACTGCGAAAATATACACGACTACACAACTCAGCCACACATTGTCATAGAGTTTAAACCTTCACCCAGAACAAACCGCAAGTTACAGTTTGTCTCAAGTCCACACACTGATGGACCTCCTTCTTGAATAGGTCACCTGCAGCCCCCATGTAACGTACTGGCAGGGACAGGGAAAAGGCTGGCATACCAACGCTCACTCTGATTGGCTTTTCATTTTTCAGAGACAACCTCAGACAACTTCTGAGGAGAGCTCACTACACTACTACACACAAGTGCAAATGCAAGTTAAAAGAATCCCCTTCAGCGGGCAGCTTCCTGCATCTGCACCCAGCATCTCCACCCAGAACCATCTGACCGAATGCACGGCCACACCACCTGGGAGCAAAAAGCTTCCATGCTGCTCAGAACCCTAGCCTCTTTTCCCCATTAAAAGAAAAGCTCTTCCTCTCTTGAGGAAGAGCCTGTGCACAGCTGTGGTCGTGTGTGTGCATGTATGTATGAAGACAACTGCTTCCCAGCCCATGATGAAGTGAACAGCCTCTCAACTCTGCATCCCCATCCATGAACAAGCTGTGAGGAGGCTAGCCCACGCCCTGCAGCTTAGACGCAGGCCAGGCCTTAACTAACACTGGAAAATCAGTGGGGGCCTTTTTTTCCACAGTTTCTCACGTGGTTCAAAACTACTTATCATTTCACATAAATGGACAAGTTCTTTTCTGGAGGAATATAATCACAACTACAGCCTCATTACTTCATTTCTTTAAAAATGACTACTGCAGGCTGGGTGCGGTGGCACACACCTGTAGCCCCAGTGCTTTGGAAGGCCAAGGCAGGAGACGTGCTTAAAGCCACAAGTTTGAGACCAACCTGGGCAACACAGAGAGACAGAAAGACCCTGACTACTTAACAAAATTTCTACTGACTGGGCGTGGTGGCATCATCTGTAGTCTTGGTTACAGAAGGTCCTGGAAGGAGGCTTGCTTCAGCCCAGCTTGCAGCCGCAGTGAGCTGTCCGCACCACTCCACTCCAGCCTGGGTGACAGAACAAGCCCTGTCTCTCTGACGTATGCACACGTGCGTGCGCACACACAGGACTGCTGTTTACTCCTTCACATCTACCAGGTATGTACTCTCAAGAAATCCTATGCTAAGTAAATCAGATGTGAATCTCAGCTTTGAGATTGGAATTAGGTGACAAAATCATTTGTGCTCATTAAACGTGCAGAAAGTCTGGCCTGCCTCATGCAGGCACATCTAGTGGGTGACCACGGGGTGGACAGCCCCTAAGAGTCACCATCCTACCATCACGAGAATCCCTCCACAAGCAGGAGCTTCGGGGGATTTCATCTTGAGATAAGCTGCACTGTGGGATGTGGTCTCTGCAAAATGAGCAATCTGCTATCCGACTGCTCCACCCAGAGGTGCTCAGCTTGGACGGATGAGAATCTGACTTGCAGGAAGAAGGAACCCGGCATCCCTGAGTGTCTGTTCTGTGGAAGGGACCATGCTCGTGGCCACCACAGAGATCTTCTCATTTAATAGCCGCCATGCGAGAGCTGGGCAGCTACTTAAATGTTAGCAGAGGCTCACAAAGGTGAAGCAGTCTACCTGAGAGACACCAACCAAGACATGGCAAACTCAGAACCGAATCCCAAGTCTCCTCTCAAAGCCCAGACTCTTGCCACTGTAGCCCGCTGAGTTCTGAAGGGCGAGCTGGCCACGGCGGGCTGTCCCAGCCCGAGTCTGAGAGGACTGCTGGAAGAAATGACGAAGCACCAAAAGGAAGCCGAGCAGCCCGCCACACGCAGGCGCAGTCCCAGTGCCAGCACCATGAGCCCCTCGCCCACACCCAGTGCTGGCATTACTATATTTCACCTTATTTTATTGAGAATCAAAACAGAGAAACAGTTATATTTAATGAGTGACTGTAAACTTTATGCTCTCATGAGGAAATTTTTTTTATTCCACAGGGTTTATTATAGAATACAAAATTTATTTCTCCTTCTTAACACAGTTTTAGGCAGATCCCAGCAGCAGGGAAATAAACATAATTAAGCAAAGGGGCCTGAGGAGTTATGACGACCTGATCTGCTGACCCTGTTGGTTAATCTGGGTTCAGGTTGGGAAGCAGAGGTCACAGTTACTCAACAAGAATGGTGCCGGTTCCCAGAGGTCGACCAAGGCCTGCCTCCTCCCTCTCCTGAGAGGGAGGCACAGCACTGATGACCCCATGTTCCTCCCAGGTGGACTCCTCTTTCTCACCCATTTAGTTTTAACATTGATGAATGTCACGTGGCTCTCTCTTTTTCCCCTCTGGGATGGAGTCCTGTTCCGTCACCAGGCTGGAGTGCCGTGGCGCAATCTTGGCTCACTGCAACCTCCACCTCCTGGGTTCAAGCGATTCCCCTGCCTCAACCTCCCAAGTAGCTGGGACTACAGGCGTGCACCACCACATCCAGCTAATTTTGTGTGTTTTAGTAGAGACAGGGTTTCACCAGGTTGGCCAGGATGGCCTCGATCTCCTGATCTCATGATCTGCCTGCCTCAGCCTCTCAAAGCGTTCTCATTCTTACTGCAACCTTTCTTGTGTGAAATTCCGAAACACACTAATATATTTATGCCATTCCCGTTTCTGGTTATGACATTTCTACAAAGTCTTCTCATTCTTCCTCACTCTGAGTCTATAGACAAATGTCTTTGAAAGACTTTCTGGAGAGGCTTGTAGCTGAAGGAAGTAAAACACTCATCTAAGAACAAAACTGGCTGCCATATCACTGCTACACTGAGAAAAGTTCCCAAATTCCATAGTTTAAAAAGTATAGTTAATGTGCGTTTACTAGAATTTTCTACAATTAAAAGGACCAAAGGAATGAATACAGGTTCTCCTGTTGTAGACACCAGTACCTGGCATTATAACAGTGAACACTAGGTGGCGCCATATCCCAAAGAGACACAGACTCGACACTACTCCATAACATTAGGATAAAAAATATTAGTCCTGAAACACACAGAGAAGGCATTTTTCTTCCTCAAACCAGGAAAGCGGCACTGAAGCCTTGGGCCACCTGGCACTGTCCCTTTAAAGTATGTATTGAAAGCACAGTGAAGTTGTTCTGCACTCGCCAGTGTTCTCAATGCCCCCCCACCAACGCTGGCAGAAGTGTATTCTACCAGCATTTGTTTTTAACTGAGAAACCTTGCGTTTTGTGAACGCAGTGTTTAAAAATCTGTAAACTCCAACTCAAAACCAACCCAGGAGCTTAACTGGCAAGAAACAAGTGGGCATGGCCCTGTCCCAGGGTGGGAGAACAAGCCTTGCTGAGGTGCTCAACTCGCCCCTCAGAGGTCTGCAGAGACCATGGCCTCCATGTTATTCTAGGAGCCACTGATGCAACCCAATTTAATTACTCATTAAAATAAGCAATTCATCCATTCCTACACTGCTATCACTGGGATTTTAAGGGCCCCAATCAAACTTTACTGATAACACAATAATTTCAGTAAGTTTTTTCAGAACAAAAAGAGTGGCAAATGGAAGGGAAAAAGCCATTCATTTAAAAGGTCTATACAATCCCACAGTGCAAAATGAGAAATTCCACGTAAAAAAGACTGAAGTCAGCTGGGTTGGCAGTGGCTCTCACCTAACTTCCCCAGGGCAGCCACTGAGCCTCACTCGAGGCCGTGAGAGGCAAACAGTACTTGCTGTTCAGGTGTGGATCTTGACAACCAGATTACACTAAAAAATATTCAAGAAAATGATCAAGACTACACACGATGAAGTGAAGCCCACCAAAGTGGCAGGTGACATATGAAAACAACAACACGACCCTTCTGCCCACAGGGGATTGCAGAACGCCGCAAAGACAGGAGCAGCAGGACACCGAGCCACACACGTGAGACCTCGCCAAGCGCACTGTCTGTGGCTCACTGCTAACAGACTAGGCTTGGGGTTTTTTCATCTGGACTCACCGCTCCACAGTCACCGCCATTTGCTTTGAGAATCTCAGATTAGGATAACCACATTCTAATGCATCTGAAATGCTCTAGTGTCTATTCTGTTCCTGTGAATTAATCTATGTTATGATCAATTGTTTTGAAATATCCTTGAACATAAACTGTATGCCTCTAATAACTGATAGAGCATTTCTAACTGCACCACTGGGGAGCCCGCTCTATCATAAATAGAGGCCAAGGCTTTGGACTTGCTTTCTATTACTACACACAAATAAAAATTAAGCCTATCTCCCCAGGAATCCAATAATGAAGATGGTAGCAATTAAAACCAGTAACATCTAAGTCTCTGGAAGGACTTTCATCTACTCATTTTTAGGAACTGTCAACAGCAGATGGAGATCTAAAACATGTACATTAATTACTCGCATCAACCCTAGTCTGAGCATGTTTCCAAATTCACCCATGAAGCTAGGGGCTCTGAGAAATTCTTGAGAGAAAGCATCCCGGACTCCTCAGAACTCTGACATGTACTCTGTGATCCAAAAAGATCCTATTTCCAAAGCGCTCTGCCCTCAGATGCACCGGATCCCGCCGTGGGATGCAGGGTGCATGGCAATGGCAGCAACAGGCACGCGGGCGACACCCAACAGGAAGTGGGACTGGACAAGCAGGTGGCTTCTCCGCGAGGCCAGCGACAGGGCTCCGGGACTACAGAGACCGGAAGTTTCCGTGGAAAACCCTGTTTCCAATGGATCTCGGATGGTGCTCCTCTGCATGCCTCGCATTTGCAGCCAGCTCAGCAGGCATGTTTCAGCATTAGAATTAGCCAGCTTTAAATTAAGAGATGAAGACACAGTCCAAGATACTGTCATATTTGTAAAATCGAAACCAAGGCACACAGCTATGAGCACATGAAGCTGTTTCTGGAAAGCGAGGAAAAGAAGGCTAAATACTCTAAAATGTAATGTTATTACAAATAAAACAAGTCATTTGACAGAACAAAAAAAACTGTTATGTATCTGTGCAAGTCAGATCCTCTATGATAATATGAAGATCTCAAAGGATAATCTGTTCAGTTGGAGTATTTATTTCTTAAATTTTTTTAACCAAGAGTCTGAATATTTCAAAATAAACATTTTGGGGCAAAATGTTCTGATACTAAGTGTGCACAATAGGTATTTATCTTATTTCCCAAGTATTTAATACGAAAGTAACCAACACAATGGGCACTATGTTTTAAATCAAGAAATGCCTTTGTCTTGGGACATGACCACCCGTGGCACAGACGCCACCCCCAGGCGGCTACCTGAATGGGTCCCACTGACATCAGCAGGCTCTTCAGCTGGGCATCCGTGGTGGATGAGGACAGCCCCTCCACGGACACCACGCAGGGCTGCGGCTTGCACTCCACCACCCGCAGGTTCTGCTTGTTTGGCATCAGGCGCCCCCGGCCCATGGGACCAGCCACTCCTCTGCCTCGTCCGTGCATGATGGCCTGGGAACAACAAAGGAAATACATTCAGAGTTTCAAGCTTGAGCTTCTTCCATAGTCACTAAGACGTAAAAGTGAACAAGTAACTTAGAATCCATTAAAATATACCAGGAGCTACAGGATTTGCTAGTTTTCTATCCATTAGCAGAGAATGGTTTAATACTTAAAGAGACAACAATATCCAGCAAGTCTAAGTTGAGGCGGAGGAAGAGGAGGGGGCTGACAAAGCCTGCACCCCGCAGGGGCCCTGCACTTGTGCGTGGTGGGCACTCTGCGTTACCATCATTCTGGGTAATCAGGCACCCGCGGGGGCTGAGACACTTGCTGCAAATGACACAGTTAAGAAACCGGATCCAGCCCATGGAGCCCAGAGCCCCCATTTCTCCTACTGTGTTCTAGGCTGGTTTCGGGGACCTGTTGTGCACAGAGCTATGTCCACCTTACAGTCCAGCAGGCCACAGCATTATGTGCCTGACTCAGCTGGCAAAGGTGGCATCTGCTATCCTGAAAACCTCCCAGGCAGATTCTGCAGCCAGGGATTCACCTGCGGCTGCACATTCCCACTGTCTGCAGTGCTTTTCAAAAGAAACAAAAAACACACTGTGACTGAGGACCCAGACACCCCCAAGTGCGATCCTGCTGCTCTAGGGTGGGCCCAGACATCAACATTTTTCAAAGTGGCCAAAGGTTCAAAACCACTGCTCAAGGAACCTGTCAAAAAGAGGAGACTGCTACACTTTCCCACACTTTCCCCAGATGAGGAAGTCAGAGAAGACGCATGTGCCCAACGCCTCTGGCCTGGACAATGGTGAAGTGCAGAAGGCAGGGTGGAGCTGAACGGCACTAGGTTTCCAGATGTCCTACGCTAATTCTGTCCTGGAACGTGGGCAGAATGGAACAAAAGCAGTCTCCCAGTACGTCACAGAAAAAGGCAAAGAAAGTTAGGTGGAAAGCGGAATTGAACGTCAGGACACGAGTGTGCAACCACAGAAGAGGAAACGCAGAGAAAACCTCCACACACCTCAGTACTCTGCAGATGGCGGCGGTACTACGCCTGTGAAGTAAGCTTTCCAACAGGTGCAAAGGGTCATTTCAAGAGAAACCACGCTGGCAAACACACAAGAAAGTTCCAAGTTACACTGGCTGGAAACCAGCAGTAACTATTCTGTTCTAACTGAAGTTAGCTATGATATTAACAATTATAACTCCAACAAATGCCTATTTATACACCAAACACCAGGTTTTTTAGATGCATCTTTCTTATAAGATCCTCACAATTGCTTACATAAGAGAGGAAACATCATTATCCTCATTGAGAAGAGAGCAAGTGAGATTTAAGACGGGAAGCTCAAGTGTGCTGTGCACGCATGTGTACGGCTGTGTGGTTCTAATGCCTTTCCCATCATATACTCAGGGATGACACCTGAAGGAAGAAGATTCAGACTGGAGCCATCTTGAAAGGGCCCATCACTTTAACACTGGTGTCATCACTGAATCTGTCTATATTTCTGTTTGCTTGTACAAAATGGAATTTTGTTTGCTCTCATATCATGAAGTGTTTATGGGATAAGACAAAGTAATTTAAATACTTCAAAAGGAGCCAGAAGAGTCTTAAGAGTCACACTAAGTGAGACAAGATGACCTGGGAGGATGAGCAGGCGGGCCTGCCACCCTCCAGAGTGCAAAGCAGGGCTGCGCCCAGGACTCCCTCTGCGCAGCTCTACCCAACAGGTGTCACTGGCTTCTGCACCAAGAGGGTACTTCACTATCAAGACTCTGGAGAACCAAAAAGACGCCTCACTAGAAGCTGAGAGGAAGGGCCCTCTGTCGCCAGTGTACAACACGACAGGATGTGCTCTTCATGCGCAGACGGTCACTCCATCAGAAAGGGGATGGGGAGCGCCCTTGCAGCCTGTGTGACAGCCACAGCTCAGAGAAGCTCCTTCCCAACCCCAGGGTTAAGGGAAGGAGTAAGGAGCTGGGAATGTGGCCTAGGGCAAGTGACTTCATCTCCAAAGACCTCAGTTTCCTCTGCCTGACCTGGGGCCATGAGCACGCACCTGACTCTACATTTGTAAAATTTCTGGTGAATCAGTGAACAGAGGAAAGAGCACATGCTGACACGCAGCAGCACGCACTGTCCCGAGAGCATAGCAGGTGCCACTGGGTAGACAGCTCAGAGCTGCGGGAAATCATCACACTCCCGGCTGTGGGTGCTCTTCTGGGTTTGTTCTGTTAAATAAGTCAGGAGTGGAAAAGGCTTTGGTGAAAATGCTAATGTGTTTTCAAAGCCAGAACAAACGAAATGATGGTTCATTAATGTGAGTACTACCATGTGCCATGCGCTACATATCAGAGAGCGTCTGAACACTGCCCCACACAAGGCCTTCGTGTTTCCCGTGCTGTGCGCGAGGTGACGGGCAGTACGGTACCTTCTTCCCCGGGTGAATTCCTTGGATGCTTTTGATCCCTGGAGGGACAGGCGAGTGTGCGTGGGGTCCTGCTGGCGGATGCGGGGGCTGCTGAAGGCCCCCCCTGGTCAGCGTCACCTTGCGGGCAGGCTGAAGTCCCACTTCTGGAGGCTGGGGAAGCCGCTGGGGCTGGCCTTCTGAGTGAAAAAAGCCATCGCTCTCTCCTCCCTGCTGAAACCAAGAAGGCAGCATGCTGTTCAGTGTCTGCTGCACCAAACACTCCTCCCTAGCACTAGGGAACCCACCTCAGCCACCCACGAGGCAAAATCATTTCAAACAAGTGTGACGTGAAACTTGTCATTTCACTGGCACCAGTAAGGACATTTCTCATTGGCGAGTGGTCAGCTTCCAACAATATGTTCGAAATTTCAAACACTAAGATCTCCTTTAATTAGTATATTCTGCAATTAAAATAAATGCTGTTTAATTCAGTGAAATACTGGCTACCTTCAACATCCTTCATATCCAGTACATATTTTTCACTTGCAGCATGCGTTATTCATTTTCAAAAGCATTCTTGTGAAAATGTACAGTTTGCATGAGATGTGGTTTTAAACTTTAACTCCTACTCCGACCTAACCTAAGAAAGCAACGAGCCCAAGCCCTGCCAGTGACGGCTGTGTCTTCCAAACCGGTCATGGCGCCTTCTACTCCGTCTCAATACGCGAACTACAAATACTCTGACGTCTCCAATACAGTGTTCCGACGTGCTGAAGAGCATCCCAAAATACCGGCCAGAAACTCCCCTTCCCTCTACCAAACAAGTACAGAGCCTGTGGATTTCCAAGAAGCGCGCTTACTCTATGAAGAGCCTTAGAAACATCAGGAATCTCATCTTTTGTGTTTTATTATCAGTCTGTTCATCAATTAGGAAGCAAGAACCCCTCGGAACTTCACCGCCTATGATGTTCACACCTCCAGGCCGCATAAAGATGTCTTAGGGTGGTGCCTATCAGCTGCTTTCAGTACTGAGAGTAGAGCTTTCCCCCAAGAACAGCTGGAGGCTGGGAAAGGATGGGGGTGCCCCAATCAACCACGTGAAGATGGATGTGTGGACTTGAAAAGGAAGACGAAGGCTTTCGTTAGCACCAGGCCCGCTCTCAACATCGACAGGGAGGAAGTGCCAGTCACAGGACAGAACGCCCTCCCCACGGGGTGCTCAGCTGTGCCAGTGTCTCCAGGGGCAACCTGGTCAGCCAGCTCAGACGCAGCTCACATACCCACTCTTCCTACCAAACATATCTTGTGGAGACCAAATAGAACAAAGGGCTCCACAAAGAGAAGGAAGGAGGACTGGAGCAAGATGCATGTAGCTAAGATTTCTGCTACGACTGTCCAAAGTACAGGAACTCAAGAAAAGACGAGATGAAAAATGTCACACAGGAGCAGGAGGCATGGAAAAGTCCGCAAATCTTCTCTCTCCAGAACAAGTAAAACCTGAACAAAATTGCCCAAAACAACATTTGAGGACTCTGGAAATCAAAGAAAATGAAACAAATGGAGAAGCACTTATTCCTGAGCTGTGAGGACAGTGCAGTCTGAGGCCTCCCTGATGGGGACAGACACAGCAGCTCCATCAGCACGGGGCCGAAACCCACAAAGGCCTGAAGTCCCCAGCAGCACTGGCCATACAAGCAGCACCCTTGGCAGGAAAGGCGCAAGGAAGTCAATGGGCCTGTGGGCCTCTGGTCATGGTTCATTTTGGAACAAGCAGCAGACCTGCCAGCAATCTGAGAAACCTAATGAGGAGATTCCAGAAGAGAAAGTGCCAGAGAAGGCCTAGACCTAGACGGGCTCTCCCCACATGGTGGCCTGAGGAGCCCCAACTCAAATCCAGATCATTGGCCATGGGGGCCGTGCAGGGTCCAGGGACCTGAGCACAAGCTCCTCCCAGTTGCTGGCTGCCCAGTAAGCCATACAGCAGAAGGGTCGACCCACAGGACGCCAGGCTAAGAAATATAAACAACAGTACAAACACTGAACAAAAAATATTTAAATTGAATGAAAAGAAAAATACAACACATCAAAATTTAGGGGGTGTGACTTAAGCAATTACATCAAAATGGAAAAACATCTAAAATCAATCATTTGCGTTTCTGTTTCTGCTCAAGAAGCTAATCCCCCTTCCTCAAAAAAGGAAATCAAACCCAAGTAGAAGGAAGGGAAAAAAAACTATAAAGATCACAGTGAAAAGCAACAGCGTGGTAAAAAGAATGAAGAAAATCAGTGAAACCAAAAGTTGGTATTTTGAGATCAGCAAAAAATTGACGCTCCTTTAAAGATACTGCGCAAGGAAAAAGGAGAGAAGATAAATTACCAAAATAAGGAAACAAAGAGGGATCGTTGCAACAGACCCTAAGAAATTAAAAAGACATTACGAGTAACTTGACCTCAACACACTAAACAATTTAGATGAAATGGGCAAATTCCATGAGACACAAGTACCAAAACTGACCAAAAAAAGAGAAAATATGAATAGAACTCTAAGAAAAAGACAAATTATTAAAACCATTCACACACACACACACACACACACAAACCTAAAGAGCCTCACCAGTAAATTTTATCAAATATTTAAGGAAGAAAGACTGACCAGGCTTACACAATCTCTTCAGAAAACACAAGAGGCAACAGCACTTTCCCACTCATTCTCTGGGCCTGGTATTACCCTAATACAAGGCCAAAGGCATCGAAAGAACAGACAACTGCAAAAGGATATTCCTCACCACACACACACAGGGAAAAAGTCCCCAACAGACTATTAGCAGACTAAATCCACCAACACAGAAAAAACGGGTCACACATCATGACCAGGTAAGATTCATCCCAGAGGTGCACGGCTGGTTCAACACCCCCAAATTAATCCAGGGACATACCACACAAAGGAAAGGATGGTGTGGCCATCTGCTATTGTCCAGCCGGGGCTGTGGGTGACTGAGCCAGATGGGTTCTCCTACCTAACGTTCTATGGCTCTATTATGTGAATTATCACTGCCTGGAGTGTGCTCACCTTACTGGGAGGCATTCCTTTCTTACAGAGGGCTACCCCCACCCCCTAATGAAAATGGAAGCACCGCGAAAAGGCAGACCGCCTGCACAATCCACAAAGTCAGGCTGATGGTCTGTGCTGCTTAAATCTTCTCCACAAGGCCCTCTACCCAAGGTGTGAGCAGGTATCTCACCAGACAGGGATGGCCTATTCTAAGTACACAATTTTTCAGTCTGTATCTTAAAAAGCTATGTGAATTCTCTCCAGTTTTATACATGCTTGAAATTTTCTACACTAAAAAGTTTTAAAATTCAAAAATATATACCACATACCCTCATTGTTCTTGAGAACCGGCGGCCATTTATTAATTTATCCAAAATCCGACTGAAATGGTGTTGCCTAACAGTGCAATCTCAGTGTGAGATTTATAAATTCACTATGCACCTGTCCAGCTGTACAGCCGCTGAAAATATTCCTCCTTTTTACAAGTGCAAACACTTCACAACACCTTCCAGGTCCCATGAGGGCCCATGCTAGGTGGTGGTGACATCGGACCACTCAGTTCTACACACAACTCAGCAACACAACAGTCTTAGTGACTGTGATTCTCCAACTTTTACCTTTCCACTAAGGTGGACAAACGCATGGACTGTGGAAGGTTTGCTCTCTAAGAAGGACTTCCACCTTATGTATTTAAGTAATCTAAACCAGCTCCCTGGTAGCTTAACCAGCTAGGTGTCCAGGGTGCTGACCACATTGGCTAACCTGTAAGTACCTGAGAGAAGCCAGTGGTTTAGGCCCTAGTGAATCTCTTTTGCTCACCATACCAAAATGTCTCATGCACACAGAAGTCACTGAAATCTTTACTGAATAAATTGGTACATACTAGATTGTACTGTTTAAAGCTGAGTAGTTCTGAACGTGCTAAGAGATTACAGTTTCTACAATGCTAGGTTACAGCCACTGTACAATCAGTACACAGCTATTTACTACATGTCACTAATAAAAGGCCAACTTTCAACCCAGCACCACGATGTTTCATATGGCAGAAAGAGAGGAGACAGTACCTTTGGCCAAAAATTTAGGGAACTATGTCCACAGAACATGATGGATGGCAAGAGGATGCTCCAGCCACTGTTTCCCTGGCAATCCAAAGCTAGAAACAAGATGGTCTATGGCGGAAACTTTAACAATAGCTGGCACCAAAACTAGGATGTTATTACTTGCTGTTGTAAGGTATACAATGTGTATGTGGATTTCGGTGGTAAATACATAACACTGTAGTAATCTGATCATTTTTAAACTGGGAATTAAGAGAATTAAGAATCTAGGCTGGGTACAGAGGCTCAGGCCTGTAATCCCAGCACTTTGGGAGGCCAAGATGGGCGGATCACGAGGTCAAGAGATCAAGGCCACCTGGCCAACAAGGTGAAATCCCATCTCCACTAAAAATACAAAAAATTAGCTGGGCGTGGTGGTGCACGCCTGCAGTCTCAGCTACTCAGGAGGCTGAAACAGGAGGATCACTTGAGGTGAAGGGTGCAGTGGCCGAGACCACACCACTGCACTCCAGCCTGGCGACAGAGCTAGACTCCGTCTCAAAAAACCACAACAAAGAATTAACACAACACTGAGTCCATAAACACTCCTAATAAGAAAAAATTCTCTTCGTTGTTATTTTGGGTAAGAGACTGGTGAAAGTTTTAAGTCTGGTGATATTAATGTCAGATAAGAACTCTGAAAAATAAAGTTCTAAACTTTTATTTTCCATTGAAGGAAAGTTTATTTTTTAAGTAGACTTGATCTCTATTTAAAGTTCAGAAATACAGGTATTACAAAAATACTTTCCTTTCCTCATCTGCTTCCAAAAAACTAAAATTTCCTTATATAAATCTTCTAACATAAAGAAAGGGTCCTAATATGACAGTGTCATGCCTTGTTGATGACTCTCTAAGAAATGGCCTGAAAAGACAGGAACTAAGGCCTGTGATGAGACAGTCCCTGTGGACGGAGACCTCATCTCCTCCCGCCACCTCCGCTCATTCCGTGGGGTCACGCTGGCCCTCCTGGGCCTGCCGATGCACTCCTCCCTGCTTGCGAAGCTCTTGGCCCCCTGCCTGACAGTCTCTTGGGTTCCAGTGGCAGGCTGGGATGCACTTGCTTGGTTTTTCTTCCAGTGGGT